GGTGAAGGTGGTGGTTAATGCCTCCTTGCAGGAGGGCAAGATTCCAGCGAGCTTAAAACAAGCTATTATCAAACCGCTGTTGAAAAAACATTCCAGCGAGCTTAAAACAAGCTATCATAAAACCGCTGTTGAAGAAACCATCACTGGATCCCACTCAATTTGACAACTGTCGGCCAGTTTCCAATCTCCCCTACTTGGGCAAAGTCATGGAACGTGTGGTGGCAACACAACTCCAGGGGTTTCTGGTAGACACTGATTATCTAGATCCGGCACAGTCCGGCTTTAGGCCGGGACATGGAACTGAGACAGCCTTGGTCGCCTGGTAGATGATCTTCGCAGGGAGCTGGACAGGGGGAGTGTGTCCCTGTTAGTTCTGCTGGACCTCTCAGCGGCCTTCGATACCGTCGATCACGGTATCCTCCTGGGACGCCTCATAGACATGGGGCTCGGGGGCACTGCCTTGCAGTGGCTCCGATCCTTTCTTGAGGGACGGTCCCAGAAGGTGTTATTGGGTGACACCTGTTCGGCCCCACAACCGTTGTTGTGTGGAGTCCCACAGGGTTCAATTCTGTCCCCGATGTTATTTAACATCTACATGAAGCCGCTGGGGGAGATCATTCGGAGTTTCGGAATGAGATGTTATCTCTATGCAGATGATGTCCAAATCTGTCACTCCTTCCCACCTGTCACCAAGGAGGCTGTCCAGACCTTGAACCGGTGCTTGGCTGCTGTGTCGGACTGGATGAGAGCTAACAAATTGAAACTGAATCCAGACAAGACAGAGGTGCTACTGGTCAGTCGTAAGGCTGAACAGGGCATAGGGTTACAGCCTGTGTTAGATGGGGTTACACTGCCCCTGAAGACGCAGGTTCGCAGCTTGGGAGTGATCCTGGACTCATCGCTGAGCCTGGAACCCCAGGTCTCGGCGGTGGCCGGGAGAGCTTTTGCACAATTAAAACTTGTGCGCCAGCTGCGCCCGTATCTTGGGAAGTCGGATCTGGCCACGGTGGTCCACGCTCTTGTTACATCCCAGATAGATTACTGCAACGCACTCTACGTGGGGTTGCCTTTGAAGACTGTTCGGAAACTTCAATTAGTCCAGCGGGAGGCAGCCAGACTGCTCACTGGAGCGTCATACAGGGAGCATACCACCCCCCTGTTATGTCAGCTCCACTGGCTGCCGATCCAGTTCCGAGCACAATTCAAAGTGCTGGTTTTGACCTACAAAACCCTATACGATTCCGGCCCAGCGTATCTGTCCGAACGCATCTCCCTTTACGTCCCATCTCGGAGTTTGAGATCCTCTGGGGAGGCCCTGCTCTCGACCCCGCCTCTGTCACAAGTGAGATTGGCGGGGACGAGGAGCAGGGCCTTCTCGGTGGTGGCCCCTCACCTATGGAATTCACTCCCCGGGGAGATCAGATCAGCAACATCCCTCCTTTCATTCAGAAAGAAATTAAAGACGTGGATGTGGGACCAGGCGTTTGGGCACTCTGGCAGATGAATAAGGGACTGTGACGATGGATAGGAATTGGACAATGGTGGAACGAAATATGAACTCTGAGTTGGTGAACGCTGTGTCTGAGATTGGCTATCGATTGTGTGATATATTGTTTTTAAGTGTTTTAATTGTTGATCATTTAATTGCTGGTTTTATATGTTATTGTATTTGTGTAGGCACCAAGATGTGCCTTTTGTAAGCCGCCCTGAGTCCCCCCTCGGGGGTTGAGAAGGGCGGGGTATAAGTACACGAAATAAATAATAAATAGTCGTGTACATGTGAAACTGGGGGCCTCATCATACGTTCCTCTAGAATCACCACAGATTGTGCAAATCTGGCAGTGCTCAACCAGGGGAACTAGTTGCCCCAAAACCTGCATTGCCCGACTTACACCATGACCCATTCCACGGGGAGATGTGTCTGACACACGATTTCCCCCCATTGACCCCAATGCAACATGGGAAGCCTCCCATGTTGCTGCTGTGATGGCATACGCTGGTTCTATTGTGATGTAGCCCTGCCAGAAGTAAATATACATAATGGGATGGGAGCTGGCAGGCTCCATTGCAAAACTGAAGAGGAACCGGCATATGCTGCCAATTTTTACCCCATCTGATGGTTCCAAAGAGCAACTTTTATACCTGAAAGGTCTGTACTGCGGCTGGCTTTTAACAGTGCTTCCTTGTTTTGATACTGTGCAGTTAGCAGAAGTAGACTCTTATCAAGAGCTTCAACATCTAAGGACAGGGAGGACACTTCATCCATCAGAGGGATTTCTGAGCTTAAACCTTCAATGTTCTTCCTGGAATCAATAGAACAAAACGTGTTTGTGGCATGTAGTTTAAAATTCTTTTCTTGTTCATCTTTCTCATATTCTCATGCTGGCATACCTTCAGTAAAGTGTATAGTATTTTATTGGAAGAATCAGAACAGATGAAATGAATTGGATAAACTACTCTATAATTGTATAGTGTAAGGAGAAAGAGAAGACAGTGATGTTAGTAGCTAACACTCAAGATGTCTATATGGCACCTCCAGTACCAGATCCATTTGCATATCATGTGTGTGCGACCATGAGTGGGAGGGTGCAGTTTTGCTCGTGTTCCACTAGCAGCCTTTCCATAAGCACCTGGTTGGCAACTGTTAAACCAGATTCCTGGTCTAGACAATATTTTCCCAATCTTTGGTCCTCCAGGTATTTGGGACGTCAACTTCCAGAAACTCCAGGCAGCATGGCTAACTGTTAGGAATTCTGGGAGATAAAGTTGAAAACACTTGGAGGACCAAAGTTTGGGAACCACTTCACTTGCATTCTTGTATTAACACATGAAAAGTGTGGCTTGTTTTTTGAGCTCTCTCTCTCCCCCTCCCCCTCCCCCTCCCTCTCCCCCCCTATAAAAGCTCAACTTAGAAGCCTGCACTGACATGGGGGATAGAGTACTTCCAATTCATGTAGGACTGACTTTGAAGTAGTAAAAGACAACATTTTTTCTTGAATGTTGTGAACACACTTTATTTGCGGAAAGTAAAGAGTCAAAAAAACATATTTACCTGATTGCAGCAATGGCTTTAGTCACCTGACCCAGTTCCTGCTCTGTTGTAAGAGGATTTTCCAGAATCTCTTGGATGCGCTGGATTTCATTTCCTGCTTCTAAGAGGCGGGTACTGAAGCCAGAGCTCATTGTCCCCACTGGAAGCAGCTGTGTGGAATTTTTCAAGGTGGCCTGACGCAAACCCAACTGATGGAGATCATCATCATAGTTCTGGAAGCAGGGGTGGCATGCCTCACAGTATTGGTGTTTATCACAGTAACCTCGCTGGCATTGGTCACAGCGGGATCCAGTAAAACCAGACTTGCAAAGGCACCGCCCTGTCAGCTTGTCACAGCCCATTTCTTCTGTGCCTTCAAAACTGCAATCACAAGCTATTGGGTAGAAATAGCCAAGAGGTATTCATTTTTGTTTTTATCCATATTCTGAGGAGGCTTACAGCATACATTAAACCGGAATACCGGAATATTTTACATATATACTTATGCAGGCTCACATGGGAATTGAACCTTTAGATGGTCTAGATCCAAGATGTACAGTCAGATGCCAATTCAGCCTTCCCATGCATTCCCAGCATAGATTCAAAACACAAGACTCATATGTTTGTATAATTTTAGTTTGACAGCAGTCTCCACTTTGTATTCCTTTACTGGAGACTTTTGCACAACACTGTTATTCCATATTGGCTACCATAGGAACATCTTATGGAATCCTAAGGCTTGTAGTTTGTGAGGCACTAGAGTTCTCTTGTTGAAAATTATGAACACCTATCCCTAAACAAGTCTAATTTTTCCACAGAGTGCTATCAAAGCAGTTACAGTGAAATCACAGTGTGTGTATTGACTGAAAGGCTCTCAAGTGATGGGGTGTATTCAGGGCTGCCATTCATTTTGCTTGGGTAGGGAACCCATGACCCTCCAAACCTTTTGGACTAAATTCCCAAGATCCTTTGTCACAGAGTCATGCTAAGTGAATCTGTTGGATCTTGAAGGCAAAAATGTCTAGAAGTCCACAGGTCCCCTTCCTTGTATTAGCCCAAAGTGTCCACCATATGCAGAAATCCTGTTTTCATTTCGGACAAGTACCAAGTGCATTTCATTCTTTTATTCTGTTTTCACGAGCTGTTCCTTGGCAATTCAGCCAGGCAGCATAGCAACTCTCTGTAAAAAGAAATGCTTGCGCTTATTGTGCTAGCTGTTTTAATAGTAGCCAAAATAGTAGTAAAATCCCATGTGTACATTTTCTCCTTGTGCAGAAGTAGGCAACACAGAGCTGGTTGGCTGCACATGACCCTTTATCACTGTTTGGGCAGTCCCAGGAGTACCAGGATTCTCTTAACATCCTCTTCACAATGGAGTCATCTTCACTGAACTGATGTAATATGTTGTATCAAAGTGCCACAATAAAGTATGGTGAACTTCAAATGCAGAGCACATTGTTTCCTCAACCCTTTCTACAAAGCTGTGTATAACGATCACTGTTGCTGCAGGGAAGGACAGTGGGATTACCACATTGCCCCCTTTGAAACATATTCTGTGCTTCCTATGAACTTGCCTTAAAGTGAAAATGTGCCTCTGGATTCCACACTAGTTATTTGCCACTATAAATATAGGAAATGTGGAAGAGAGGCTAAAGTGAATCTGATTGCATCGTCTAATGGCTAAATCTTATTTTTCTTTCCACATTTGCTGTGCTACCTCTGAAGTATAAGGAAAGGACGGTCATAGTAAAATAGGACAAAATAGTTATTCATAGGATATGTTTCCTTCATACAACTATGCCATTTCTCCGAGTCTGTTAGGATTGTGAAACTAAGCCACTGAAAAGTAGGATCTATTTGTGCAGGAAGGAAGGAAGCAGAATCTCAGTCATCTTTTATTTTAAGACTCTTGTTATTTTCCAGTTTCACAGAACACACAGCACAGAAATCCAAATAAACATGCTTTTTAAATGTTTCCCCAATATCCATCCTGTTGAACATTAAGAAAATTATAAAACCACCTAGACACAGGAGTGGGCAATGGTGGTTCTCTAGATGTTGTTACATTGAACTTCTTAGGCTTCCCACCACCATGCTACCGTGAACACCCAGGAATGAGAGACCACCAAATAATTCCAATGGTCTCCAAGTACGGCTAGAAAAGAGTCCTGCTTGAAACACTGCCAGTCAAAGTTAACAATATTGACCACCAATATGGCTTAGTGTAAATTAGCTTGCTGTGTTCCCAGCCAAAGGTCATGGAAGTGAAATGTCCACCCCTACATTAGAAGAAAAAATTGAAGAGAGACACAAGCATAGTAACACACATTGTGGTGATACTTCCATTGCATTGATATACTAATAAATAAAATGTCAAAAGAAAGCCTGTTCTAGTAGCACAGTGGGTACCACAAAATAAGAGTAGTTCACAAAAACCTCAATGATCTCCAGGATAAAAAAAGCATTCTACTTCCCATACCTCTACATCCTGTTCTGATATCGCCATAAGACCGATCTGGACAAACCCGGATTTCTAGAGCAGAGCAGGTCAAACCTCCATACCCTTCTCTACATGGGCACTGCCCTGTAAACTGCAGAGAAAAGGAAAGAAAGAGACATAAATATGAGGAAATAATAATAATTTTATTTCTTACTTGCCTCTCCTCGTGGCTTGAGGCAGGTTACAGAATAATTAAAATGCATAAACATTATAAAAATACCACAAATACACATATAAATGTATTCTATAAAATATAAATATTATAATGTATTTCTATAAAATAAATATTAAAATATACAAAACACAGATTAAACAAATGACACGAGTTTAAAATTCTTGCTTAAAAACTGACTGGGTAGGTCTGCCAGAATAGATAGGTCTTTAGATGATTTTTAAATTGCAACAACTCATTTAGCGGTTGGAACTCTTCCAGCATGCACAATGGAGGACCTTCTCACAATGACACCAGAGGCACTGCAAGTGGCCAGTTTCTGGACAAAGGAAATCTAGTATAATGCCAAGTTTCTAACTTTGTTTGTGTTTTCTTAAATACATAACTCAATTAGCTTCTAACACGATAAATAAAATACTCTTCCAGCAGGTCATTCCACAGTCTTGGGATGACTGATGAAAAGGTCCTCTGGGTGATGGTTGCCAGTCAGGTTCTGGGTAGGTGGAGTAACCAACCCCTAGAGGACCTAAGTGTTTGGAGCAGATTGTACAGGAAGTAATCCTTTAGTTAACCTGGACTCAAACCATGTAGGGCTTTAAAGCTCCAACAGAAATTGCCACAGCCTAACCCTGTCCCAGGTGTAGTGGTTTGGGTGCTGGACTAGGACACTAGGGGATCAGGATTCAAATCACTGCTCAGCCACTGAAACCCACTGGTGAACTTGGACAAATTATACTCTTTCTGCTAAGACAACCTTCCTTTGGACAAATTCTGCCAAGAAAACTGCATGGAAGGGTCAGCTTAGGGTCAACTTAAGTCAGAAAATAATTGAAGGCACAAATAATAACAAATGATTCTACAATTTGATGAACATGTGGCTAGGCCACCAAAAATCTATATAGGAAATATCAATCTGACAAAGAGAAAGAGGCACTGTGTTGTTGCGGATGGAATAGAGAATACAAACCAGGAGGGATCTAAGGCCGAGTTCTTGTTTAGCTATTAAGTTCTCTGAATTGATTATTCAATGCCTCTTAACCTAATCTATAACAACATGAAACTAGTTTTTATTAATCTTGACACATAAATCTAATTAAGAAAAGTTTAATTAATTTCCAAGCTCTGCACAAATTCATGCATCTAGAACTGGTAAAAAGTAGGAAAAGCATTAGCCACTTGATTTTGCTAAATGTACAAATGAGGCTTTTACAGCAACAAGTGGGGGGTGACTACAGTTTAGTTTTAATTGAAATTAAAGAAGTAACAAGATGTTGAACCCTAATATACATATAATGTCCCAGATAACTCCACTAGTGTACTGCAAATGGAAAGGTGATTTACATCCACATTATGTAAATCTGCCATTGATTTTATATGTTGATGGATTGCGTTTTACGTGTTGTATGGCACCATTGTGTGCTATTTTGTAAATAAATTATTATTATTATTATTATTATTATTATTATTATTATTCAACCTCTACTGATAAACTCAAGTAATAGTAAGGGAGGGAGGCAGGGAGAACAAGGAAGAGAGAAAGGGAAAGGGAAAATGGAATAGGAAGGAAGCTGAAGTCCTATTCCCACTTTACAGTTATAGTGCTGTGATTCTACTTTAGCTGTCCCTGATCACACGCTATGGAATCCTGAGAACTATAGTCAGATGAGGCACTAGACCAGAGGTTCCCAAACTAAGGCTCACAGGCTGGATGCGACCCTTGAGGGCCATTGACCCAGTCCCACCTCAAACTTGAGACTTAAGGTCACACTAAGTCTGAAACGACTTGAAGGCACACAACATCAACAATCCAAATTAACTTGAACATCTCATCAGCAGGCCCACACTTCCCGTTGAAATACTGGTAAGTTCATATTGGTTTAAATTGTTCTTTATTTTAAATAATGTATTGTTCTTTTATATTTTTTGCACTAAAAATAAGATACGTGCAGTGTGCATAGGAATTTATTTGTGTTTCTTTTTTTCAAACTATAGTCCAGCCACCCAACAGTCTGAGGGACCATGAACTGACCCACTGTTTAAACCAGTGGTTCTCAACTTGTGGGTCCCCAGATGTTTTGGCCTTCGACTCCCAGAAATCCTAGTAGCTGGTAAAAAAAGCTGGTATTTCTGGGAGTTGTAGACCAAAACATCTGAGGACCCACAGGTTGAGAACCACTGGTTTAAAAAGTTTGAGGACCCCTGCACTAGATCTTTCTCAGTGGTCATTTTAAAGCTTGCGACTCCATAGAATGTTGCCATGGCAGTTAAAGTGAGAATCTAGCACTATAATTAAGTCATGTGGAAGGGTTCAGGGTCATACAGCGTGCAGTGAGCTTGCCCTTATTCAAGAAGTATAAGGGCACTAGAAGTACTACCTCTTTTAGCAAAGTACCTGGTTACATTGCAGGCTGAGAGAATTTTGTGGGCTGCACTGGCAGGGTTGGCACCCTTCACCACTTGCAATTTTCCAGTGATTTGCAGCACAGGCATCACACTTCTCTCCCACCACATTAGGAAGGCAGAAACAGTGCCCGGTTTCATCATCACAGGGCATGTTACGGCGGCTGCCCAAGACGTTGCAGGCACAATCTGGAAGACAAAACACGCAGCATCCTCATAAAAATTCTTAGATGGAAGACACTGCCAGAGAAGGTATCCAAATCCATTCTCTACATAATGCCAAACGAAATGATAGAGTTACCTTTCACAGACTATAATCCCCCAAAGCTCCAGAACTCAAACAACTAGAATTCAAAAAATATACCTTTTTAAAGGTCTTGGCATATAGTCATGAGAGAATTCCAGATTCTACTAACAGAGGTCCTGTTTTTATTAAGCTTCCTCATCTCCACTTCTTCATTCCATGTGCATTGATTTTTTTCCTCCATAAAGTATAATGATCACTGCTGGTTAGGATGCCTTTGCAATTAGTTTAGACCATCTCATGTCCCTATCAACAGAGTGGCTTTATGCAGCCTCCAGATTCAAAGACAGTGTATTTCTGAATATCTACTGCTTAAAGAAAAAAGGTGGGAGATAAATGGTGTGTGTGTCTGAGTGCAGAAATACAGCACCTTTAACTGAAAAAGAGTAGTCTAGGTTGCTATGAGTCAAGGTAACTCTATCCACTTCTACTGTCCCCCAATCAAGATTACCAAAGACTCTACTGCCACCTGCTGGGGAAATAGAGAAACCCGAGAATAAAGGTAGTCCAAGTTTCGAACAAGATAGGTACTGTAAGTTTGTTCTTAAGTTGAATTTGTTTGTAAGTCAGAACATGAACATTTTTTCAGTGTAATTCCAGACAAAAATATAAATATATTAGCTTTGAATAGCATAGGAGAAATTTACACTACTGTGGTGTTTGTTTTGTTATCTGTGCCTCAATTCAGATGTCAACTCACTTTCTGTCCCTGTGAAAATTGGGTTTTCAAAATTTTGGCTTGTTGTGGAAAGTAGAATTGGTGAGAAAGCTTCAGTGGAGGCACTTTTTCCCACGATAACTCTTTCAAGAGTGAGTTTCCCTTCCGAGAGGTATATTTCTCTCACTTCCTATTGTCTCACCCCGTGGTGGCACAATGGGTTAAACCCTTGTGCCGGCAGGACTGTTGACCGAAAGGTCGGAGGTTCAAATCTAGGAAACAGGGGGAGCTCTCATCTATCAGTTCTAGCTTCTTTTTTTTTTTGTTGTGTCAGGAGAGACTTGAGAATCTGCAAGTCACTTCTGGTGTGAGAGAATTGGCCGTCTGCAAGGACGTTTCCCAGGGGATGCCCAGATGATTTGATGTTTTATCATCCTTGTGGGAGGCTTCTCTCATGTCCCTGCATGAGGAGCTGGAGCTGGTAGAGGGAGCTCATCCACCTCTCCCCAGATTCGGACCTGCGACATGTCAGTCTTCAGTCCTGCCGGCACAGGAGTTTAACCCACTGCGCCACCGGGGGCTCATGCAAAGACATGAGAAAAGCCTTCCATAGGATCATAAAACAACCAGGTGTCTCCTGGGCAATAACCTTGCAGTTGGCCAATTCTTTCACACTAGAAGCAACTTGCAGTATCTCAAGTCGCTCTTGACACACCAAAAAAACCCAACCATTCTTAACTATAAGTCATTTTTAAATCAGATGTTTGTAACTTGGAGACTGCCTGTACATTTCATTTCAAACTGAAACAAGACAATACTTCCATTCTAAGACATCTTTTCTCCTTATAAATATCTATAAAAACAGAATGCATCCTAGAATCACAGGTGCTTAGATAGATAGATAAATAGATAGACAGACAGACAGACAAACAGACAGACAGACAGACAGAGGGGTAAAAGCACACACACACACACACACACAGTTGATGGTACTAAACCTAGTTTACATCTTACAATCAGTGGTGTCTTAAAATGGAAGAAATACAGTATTTGCCTGTGAGATACTAACAAAGATTGATCAAAAAGACATACAAAAATATGAGATTTGGTTTATCAAGCCAAAGCTCAGCTGAAGCTATATATCACACCATTTCCAGCACACTTCCAGTAGATACATATTAGGATTTAAGCCTGAGGAAAATTACTTTTGGGCTACATCTTTCAGAATACTGCAGCCATGTGCAATTCTCTCAATGACTATGCGGGTTGGGAGATTGTTGGCATTGTAATTTTAGTGAAATATGAAGATCCATGGCGACTTTTTTTTCTTCTCCCACAATCCATTGGGTGGGAATCATTCTGAATTTTTCACACTGCCCGATTCCCTTTGGGGGTGGGGGAGTAAGTTGGGATAAAACACAAAACTAACTCAAACTGGTGGACCCAGGAGCACAAGAATTACTGTGATAGATCAGATTAAACATCCACTTAGTTGCACATTATCTTTCCATAACAGCCAACTAGATGTCTTTGTAAAGCTTGCAAAAAGGATGCACGTGGATAAGCACAGTCCCTGCTCATGTTTCTTAACAGCAAAACAGAGAGGCTTACTCACTCTGATACTAAACAGAATTCACAGTTATCCTAAGTCACGGTCATCTGATTACCCTATGTTCCATGAAATGAAGGCTGTGGGTTGTATGAAAATGTGCCACTTGTGCTCAAGGTAAAATGATGTTGTGATAGGGCAATCCACGACTCAAACAGTGGATTAAAGTTACAAGATAAGAGACTTATCCTAAATATTAGGAAAAACTTCTTTACTGAAATTGTTTTTAATAGCCTCTTCTTTCTTGAAGATCTTCCATCACATTGTATATTGTGTATACAATAAATTTAAAAATTTATTGTATACACAACAGGGCCTTTGGTTTTGGTTCCATGGTCCTCCATAGATAGAAAAATCCATAGATGCTCAAGTCCCATTATAAACAATGATCAGTAAAGTGGTGTCCCTTATATAAAATGGCAAAATTGGTGCTTATTTTTAATTTTTAAAAATATTTTCAAACTGTGGAAATTTGATCCCATGGGTGCAGATTTTTTGGATATGAAGAACCTGCAAGGAAACACACCTGCAAGGAAAGGTGCTGGATTAGATAGTCCTTTCAGTTCCTCCCAATTCTATGATTCCATATTTACTATCCAATTACTCAGCCCACTTTCAGCAGCATTGTTAAGAGGGACAGCTGCAACCAAAACTTCATCAAAATCCTGGTTTCTCAAGACCACTCATATTAAACAAACTGAAAAATAAAGAATAGGAGAACCATCAGAAAATGAAATATGCTTGGGAAGTTGGAGGTAGGCCTTTTTTAATTTTTTTTTACATTTTAGAACAGGAAGCGGGTGTTTTATTTTCGAACATGAAGCAAGTGCTTGTGCTTCTCCATATGTTAATGAATGACTGCACGTATGTTCTCTCATCACTAGTTATGATAACTATAGCTGATTTAAGTTCAACAACATTTATAGGATCATCAGTCCCCCACCATGATTTAGAAATGGGAGTTTATTGAGAGCTTTATAAAATTCTGGGCAGTGTGGATTGACAGAACAGAGATAAATTCTTCTCCCCCAAAACAAGGAGGTGGCTTTGAGATCATCCATTAATCAATTGGCTGTGGATTGCATACAAACACAAAGGAAATGTTTTTCATCCAACTTACAATGGAATAAATCATCTTCAGGGACAGTGCTGTCCATTAGATGAGATGGTTTTGAAAAGGAAGAGATAAATCTATAGATAATGGATCTGTCACAATCATCATAGGTAACATCAGGACCTCCAAAAGCAATATTTCTCTGACTGTGAAATCCAGAGGGCAATCTACACAAGATGTTGATGTTTCATGAAGGTCGGAACTTCCTAAGTGTCTGGCTTGTTGTTGAAAACAGAGTGCTGAATGGATTGAGCAATAATTTCTTAGACTTTTGTTATTTTAGTCTGCCATGCATTTTGAGTTCTGGGAAGTAGGTGTCAGTTTAATAAGGCTCCATACTTGCCTTCATGCTAATGTGAGCCAACAATGATGCAAAGTTATTTATTTTGTTCCTCCTGGGAACATTCATACATCTTCATGTTCCTACCCTCACAGGAAAGTCTTCCTCTTGTTCAGGAAGATAATAGCATCAAAGAGAGCATTTAGCTATAACAAAGCCCTTAGGAAAGCCAGACATTTCTCAGTCCTAAGTTTGAAACAAGACTGCCGTTCATTTCTTGATCTGTTTGGAAGTCTCACTAACCTCGGCAGCCCTGGGGATTGGAGTTGGTTAACTGTGTGAATCCAGGCTTGCATAGGTGGCAACGGTCTCCCTGTACATTGTTCTTACAGACGCAGCGGCCATTCAGAGGGTCACAACTTGAACCAGGAACAGTGCCATCTGGATCACATTCACAAGCTTGACAAAATAAAGACAATGTTTTAAACAGCATTTTAAGATATAAAAGGCAGATGACAGCATTTTAACAGTGGCAAACAACAGGGAAAATCCCAAGAGGCTGTTTACATATAGAGTTACCCCAAGCTTGGAAAAATCACTCTTTGGCCCCTTCCACACAGCTATATGAAATCCCACATTATCTGCTTTGAACTGGGTTATATGATAGTGAGGACTCAGATAACCCAGTTCAAAGAAGGTATTGTGGATTATCTGCCTTGATATTCTGGGTTATATGGTGTAATGATTCTTACCTCGTAGGCCGATAGAGAAGCCTGGAATATCAGTAAGCCGGCCTCCATTTTGGGAGTGTCAGCAAAGGAAGCAGACATCTTGGGAGTGTAAAAGGAGAAGAGGGGAGGGGATGAAGCTCTCTTTTGATTGGTTAGGACAGATGGGAGGAGTTTAGCCCTGAGAGGAAAAAGTGTCAGCTTGGCAGAAAGAGAGGAGATTGATTTTTGAGTTTGAAGAAGAGAGATTGATTTTGGGAATGGAAGAGGAGAGAGGTAGATTTTTGGTGTGCTTAGGTTTTTCTGTCAGAGAGCATTTGTGACAGGCGATTCTGCATTATTGGCCAGGAGGGTCAAAGTAGACGCCTGGGTGCTTGTGTGGGTTTTTACACAAGTGGTTTGCTCTCTGGGGTTAGGGTAGATTAGTTTACAGAGGACTCTGCTTAGAGTGTAGCTAATTGCTCTAGGGACAACCTGGTTAGGTTTGTCTGGGGAACTCACTGCTACTGTGTTATGGTAGAGTGAGGAGTTTTACTCATATCAAGATTATTGTGCCTCAGTAACCATTCAAGCTTATATGCCTCATTAAAGAAGATAGTTGTTTGTTCTATATTATCAATAAACATTTTCTTTAGTTCAACTTTTAAAGAAGCCTCAATAGTGATTCATTCCTGTGGGAATAGTTCTATCTGTTTTAACATCTAAACATCGCAGTCAACGCTGGGAGCTAAGGGATAGCTGGTGGGCAGGAAGAAGTTTACCTCAGTGAATCATCTTTCATATCCTAAACTATTTTAGGTGGTGGCAGCGAATCTACCAAAATGCATACACGCTACTTCATTCACATACAAACGCTCCGTGCCAGAATCATATTTCATCATATTGGTGTCCAGTTGTGGGATTAGTAATTAAGATCCTTTAAACTGATGACCAGCGGTGTGATATATTCTGAGTTATAATACAAGGATCCTTTATATATGGCTATGTGGAAAGAGCCTTTATTTTCCTCAACTACAACTCTCAGAATTCCACAGTTACCATGGCCATTAGTTAAGCTGACTGGAGGATTCTGGGACATAAAGTCTGAAAGTCATAAGACCTTTACTTCAAAAAGTTATTTTCAGGATTACAACATATGGACTTCCCCAGCTCCCATGGCCATGCTGACTAAAGGACTCTAGGTGCTGTAGACTGAGGTGCTTTCTACACAGCCATATAATCCAGATGCTCAAATCAGATAATCCACATTATCTGCTTTGAACTGGATTATATGAGTCTACACTGCCATATAATCCAGTTCAAAGAACATAATCTGGGTATCAGCTGCCAGTTAGCACCCTAAGGTCCCTTTGACACTGTCATATAATCCAGTCTCTGAGTCAAAATCATCTATTTGAACTGGATTATATGGCAGTGTAGATTCATATACACCAGTTCAAAGCAGACAATCTGGAATTAGGTACTGAATTATATGCCAGTGTACATCCGGCTCATGTATGCTATATAATCTGTATTGCAAAAAGGTTTCTAAATTCTTGATTAATACTATCCCATTTCTTTGATTGCCAGGCAGAACTGTAAATTCCCTGGGGGAAGGGGGCAGATTTGATAATGAACAGTGTCTGATGTAGAGTTTGTCTGGCCTACTAGTAAACAAGCAAGACTGCTTTACCACATTTTGTTTATCAAAGATGAACAGCTGTTGCTGTGCTGACTCCTCTTTACACTTGTACTGCACATTCATTGCCCAGCGACTGGAAACCACCAAGAAAGGAAACACAGCAGATAAGGCAGCACTGGCAGCACAGATGCATGCAATATCAAAATCAAATTAATAAATAGGTGCTAGGAATTCAATCAGGAATCAGGAATCAAATTTCTAGCTTTTCTAACTGGCAGCTGATACCCATGATATTTCCAAAAGTTACTCAGGCCATGTATTTTTTGGCAAGCCTGCATTCAGAACAGCTGTGTGGTTCCTTCCTGTGAATTCCTTGGGGGAATGAGATTTACTGGCAACTTCAGGATTCTCCATTATGTGCTAAAGGGAAATCTCATCACCTTTTTAGGTCCAGTGAGAAGAACAGAGATCTTAGCAGCTGGAAAAAGTGGGGAAACTAAATTCCAAAGAACTGGAAACAAAATGAAAGGAAAAGGAAAGGAGCATATAGGAAGAATTGTGATGCTTTTCTTGTATTCTCCAACTGCTCTGATTTGGTATGGACAGTTCAATTAATCCTCTGTCATCCCAATTTTTCAGCTGTTCTTAAATTTTGAGTGTTTTTGGGTTCTCTCTCCTTCCACTTTGTCCTCAGCTTACTACAGCTACTGCTATAGTTTACATTCGACAGGAAAAAGAGGGATTTTGGGTAGTCTTAAGCAAAAGACAACTGCTGCAGCCTCTCCCAAGTTTGCATGATCTTGCTCATTTAATTTATGTTATCCTGTCTACACTATACCGTTGCATGGCTACATGCATCTAGTTTTTCTTTGGTGAAATGTTGGAGGGCAAAATTTCTATACTAGACACTCTAATCGAACTCAAAACCAATCAGATTTTAAAGTGGATTAAAGCAATGAGGGTATTGTAGCTTGGGTTTCTCATTTTCCAGTGTTCAATTTCCATTTTTGTTAGAAGTTAGAGGAAATTAAACTTTTCCAAGAATTTGCAAATCTTTTTTTTCTTTGTCTTTCTTTCATTTCTTTCCTTTGGATATCTTAGAATATATATATTTCCCCACAAGACAGATTATCATACATATTTGTATAACAGTTCTACACAATGTGCAATCCTGGAATAGCTATGGTGACCTACAAATAGAATAAATACATTATTTATTATTATTATTTGCATTATTTGTATACTGCCCTTCTCAACCTCAAAGTGGACTCTAATGGTTCACAGTGTTGGCAACAATTCAATGCAATCAATAAAAAACAGTATAAAACATCAAAATTGACCCTGGAGAAGCAAAATAAGCTTTAGCAACCACTTACGGAGGCAAGCTTCTGGGTGGCCAAGATCAAATCGTTGGTTACGGAAAAAGTTGGTCTTGCAATGTTCACAATGTTGCCCTGCTGTATTGTGCTGACAATCTTCACACACACCACCACTTATACTTCCGTTGGCCTCATACACAGATGGATCAAAATGACACCTGTTGGAATGTCCATTACAGTTGCATCCTATATGGAGAAAGAATGTCAAGCTATCTGTCACTTGGAAAACTGGGAAAACAATGGCTTTTAATGTTCAACTTCACCAGTAGATGGTGCTTTGGGTTCCTTCATTGTGCCTAACAAATTTGTAACAGAGAAGCATTCATATTGTAGTGGATCCAACTTGAACATAATCAACACTGCACATCTTTTAACAGAAGAAGTACCCTTGAATGCTCCATGTCTTGCTGAGTGCTCTTTCTGGACTTATATTTCTCCCCCAGGTGAAAATAACACATAGAAAATGTGCTTTTTTTCTACAAGGCATACTAATAATGTTGAGAGTAGGAAATGATTTTTCACCCAGCCAGAGCCCCTATGCTGACAAGACAGTCTGACATCACCAGGATGTTATTTTAGTATTTCTGTATTTCTCTCAATGTAATCCATTTGTAAAATTCAGACAGTTGAGATGTGTGTTTAATAATTTTATTTGAGCTTTGGGTACAAAAGTCATATAGCGTCAGTCCGAATGCCTATGGCCCTACAGAGTGCAGAGAGTATACTTTTCTGGAGTACAGCTACCAAAATCCATCAAACAAAATGGCCATAGCAAACTCATTTTTGTGGTACTGTCAATAACAATGATTCGTGGCAGGTCTCCAGGATTTTATGTAGTTTTCCCATACCTATCTGGATATACCAGGAAATAAACCTGAAACCTTCAGTGTGCAAAGCACAGGTTGTGTCTTTAATCTATGCTCAAGCTTTTTCTCAAGCTGGTGAAGGGAATTTTTCCTATGAATAGTGAGCATCCCTTGTATATGAAAAGTATAGCTATCTGTTATATGACCTTTCCCCTTCAACAATTATGATAAAAGCAATATGTGCAGTGAATATAACATTAAAATTATAGTTCAGAAATGCTAGCTGGAAATTTTTCCCCTGGGATATTGGTGAGGCATACATACGGCGGCATTCATTGGGACTGTTGTCTTCAGCAGGTCTCCATGGCTGGTCATGGTAAAATGCTGCACAATGGTCACAATTTGCCCCAGCAGTGTTGTGCTGGCACACACAACGTCCATGAATCTAGAAGGTACAAGGAATTTTTTCTCAATTCTCACAATTTACCTCACCATCACCTAGTAGTGTCTGGACCCTCTCAGTTATTGCATTGTAATTTGTTTTACTTAAACCTTTTCCCCTCTCTTGGGCAGGGATATACATTCTTGACTATTTCATCTGTGCATGTGAGGGTGAATAATTACAGTAATAAATAATGAGGAATATTTCTTGCATTCCTGGCCTTATACACACACACACATGCACACACATCCAGAATCATTTTTAAAGCCAGTTCATGTCCGTGGGATTCCAGTCTAAAAACGCATTATGCAAATAGGTATTTACAGCAGTGAGAGCTGGGGGAGATAACCTTTTTTTCCCAGCTGAGCTGGTAGAATGGCCCTTCTGTCCATTTTATCTCCCATGTTTTTTCTGGCTCAGCAAAAGGGATCTGCTCTAGCTTTCTTATAGTATTGCATCTTGATTGCTTCCACAGTATAATGTTTACAGAGCTTAAAAAAATTTGCTTCCTCCAAAACTCCTACACTGGTTAGTGGATTCTGAAAATTGTATTACCAAATTTTCAAGCTCTGAACATGGGGTGTTCCTTGCAAATGTCAAATCAGAGTAACCAATGTCTACACAGCAAAAATAAATATTGATTATCATTATGAGGAACCCTGCTGTTCAATTACTGATCATAGAATTACCATAATGTACGCCGCAAAAATCCTGAGCTTTGTAATTCCTCCTTTTTTTTGAGTACTCTTTCTCTCTCTCTCTCTCTCAGATCAATTTTAACTATTAAGTTCAACACTGTCTGATATTGTGGAAAAACTTGTGTCTAATTTAGTACAAACTTGGCAGAAAAAAAGGAATTTGTTATTGCTGCATATCTTCAGGTTGTTTCCAGTGTATGGCAACTCTTAGGCAATCCTATCGTAGGGTCTCCTTAGCAAAAGCAAGGTGCCTTTACTTTCCCCTCAAGCTCAGGGAGTCTGACTTGCCTAAGATGACCAAGGATTTCCAAAGTCAAGCAAGGATTTGAACCATGGTCTTCAGAGTCATAATTTCACACTCAAACCAGAATGCTATGCTGGCTCTCATGAAATTATTCCACACTGATATTATAGCTAGATACAATATCAAATAGATATGCCTTTTCTCCACCAAAAACCGACCATCTTGTCTAGCCAGCACTCACTCCACTCTTCTGCCCACTATGTGGACAGACTAGAAAGAGGAGAGCATGTTCAAGTAAAACGAATGCAGATGAGACCTACTAGAATCGAATGCTGCAATTGGGAAGTCATTGCATCTAGCAATACTTCTCAATCTTCACACTCACCATAGCACTGGGTTCTCCAGAAGAAGCATCGGGGACAGCACAGCGGTCAGCATGTCCATGACAGAAGCAGCTCCCTTGCACTTGCATTTCAGTCAAGGCATAGAAAGCACTAGGCAATCGATATCCCTGGTGTGGAAGGTGGGACAGCTGTGTGAAATTCACTCTCAAGTTGGTGAATTCTGCCAGATCTATTTGAAACCAAAATAAAATACACACATCTGAAATACCTTGTGAGAAAAATGGCCAAATTCATTACCTTGGGAGACAGGGACAAAATAAAACCTAAAAGTGGGTAATTTTCTTCATAAGATAATATAGGAGAATGAATAGGATGACTACTGACTCCCAATGACTACATTTAAGAAATCAGAGGCAAAATGGCTAAAGACTGGAATTAACACCTCTGACTCCAGACAAAAAGCTGGAGCTTTTTTCTTTAAAAAATGCATGCCAAGGATGATAGACAACTGCTCTGAGGTAAAGATAGGGAACGTTATCAGCCCTTTTTCATCTGAATTGAATTATTTGGGAAAAACTGAATTCTAGCAATGAGAGGAATCAAGAATACTAGGTGGGGCTAAATCAAAAAAGGTGAGACCAAATGTGGGCAATTTATCAATAAAAAGTACATTTCTGTGAATTTTTATTCTAATGTGAACTATAGTGCAAAGAATTATGAGCAATAAACTATACATTCATGTGGTTTTAAAAGTCTATTTTTGTTTTATTTCAACTTTAATGAGATATAATAACAGGAGGCTCTGTTATTGTGGGTCTGATGTGTAATCCCCGTGGGCCACATTTAGCGCCAAGCTAAAGGTTAGCCATCACTGCTCCACGGTAATGCTATGTAGAAGCATGTGGTGACATTACAATTGTAATTCACATGCTGACTCAGAGAAACCACCTGTATGTGTCACTATAACTGCCCAATGTACCTGCCAGTCAGGTCACCTGATGACTTCAATGTTAGCAGAATGGTAAATAAACTGCAGGTTTATCTGAACTTAATGGGGAGTATCTAAGGAGTAAGACCCTGCACTTTGGTACCTCAGGCAGTTCCTTTACCATCTAGACTAAAATCATTTACCATCTCACTGTCATCAGTGCCATGAATTACTTACTACTGCCCTTAGCATGGATGACAAATAATTCATCTCTGTTGAAAACTTATGCTAACACTGTAAAAGTTTCATTATAAAAACTCTTTGTAAAAAATGAAAAAACACAGCTCAATACCAAAAACATTGGAGCTCAATGCTTTGACAATGAGATCTTTTTATTCTCTTATGAATAGTAAGTGAGCAAAATATGTCAATGCCAGAACAAATAACTAACACAACAAAGCCTAAAGAAGGCTGGTAAGCTACCACAGGAGAAGGTAACTGTACTTTTACAGATAACATTCAATACAATATAAGTTTCAACTCCCAGACTAAAGAGAAAAAGTCCAGGGTTCCATAATAAAAAAAAATCCAAAAATATGCAATCATAAGATTATATTTTGATATTGGGAGATTCCTCGTTGCCTTTCATAGCACTGCCCCAATGACACACACAACTGGCAAAGTTCCTCAAAGCTGACTGATATAACTACTCCCTCATAGAGTATATCAGACAATCTGTTATCCAATCCCAATAACAGACATGCTCTCTCTCAGGAATACTGGGATATAGCAGGCATGGGCAAATTTTGGCCCTCCAGGTGTTTTAGCACAACTCCTACCAACAGTTAGGAATTGTGGTAGTTGAAGTCCAAAACACCTGGAGGGCCAAAGTTTGCCCATGACGGGGATATAATATATCTGATACACCTTATGTCAGATCAGACCATTGGTTCATCTGTCCCAGTATGAGTGTACTTCAACTTTTTGCTTTTCTAGAGATTCAACAGAGAAAGTCTTTTCCAACATTGGCTCTCTGTGCTTTTTAACTGGAGATGTCTCAATTCAACCTAGTATCTTTTTCATGCAAAATATATGTTCGATCTGTAAGCCTTTTCCTCCACCCATCTTAAAAAGAGAAGTAGCATCTGTCTGCTCTATCAGGTTTAAGGGCCAAGACTGAAGGATCTTCAAAATAAACTAGAAAGAATCATGCACTTTGGTATCTTAGTATATCTGTTTTCTGTAATTTTCCAATAAAATTTATCTAGTCCACTTCTGCAATGGACCACACATTCTACAGACATGGGTATGTACATACTGTTGACATTTTGGCTATGAGATGTTGTCATCCCAGATGCAAGACCAATGGGGTTGAACTCAATCTTAGAAGGATAGAAAAGGAAAACATGTTAAAGATCAATAATACTTCTTCCAATAATTGTTAGTTTCATTTCACAATTATGAAAATGTCTTTTACATTATCACTAAAAAGCATACAAATAATAGTATAATAATACCAATAGCATATAATGGTCATGGTGGCTACTATATTAGTGTTGTGGTAAATCTGATCCAGCTTCTAGTTTGAATTTTAAAGGTGTGACACAAGATGCTGAATCTGTTCTGAGGACAGGATCAATGCTCTGGATAGGTCCTTTAAAGTTCATACGAAAATCAGAAGAAGATTCACCACCTCACTGGCACAGCAGCAGCTAGCTGACAGAACATAGAGAAGAGTTTGCTTGCCTGGCTATTTTTTTTTTCTTTCATGCAAAAAGTGACATTGCTCTTTTAAATACAGAAATAAATAAATAAATAAAATTGTAAAATAAAGATCAGTAGTGATTAATGTGGTTTTTAATAAACAAAATTTAAAAGGAACTATTCATGGAGTTCCTCTAAACCCTAATTTTTCTAAGAAATGTTCTGGTCACACCAAAGCATGTCATGCTATGTCAATGCATTGACTACATTTTCATCCTAGTTACCAAAAAGGAAAAACTTGTATGGTTTTTGATGTTAACCACTTCGAGTCTCCTTTGAGAGAGAGAAAAGCAGAATATAAATACTAATACAAGTACGGTACTAATAATACCAATACCTATTATTATTATTATTATTATTATTATTATCAAAAATGATGAGCTCAGATGACAATTACAAAGAAGCTGGATCAAAGTGATATATTCTAACACCACAATAAATGGTTTGTTGTTTTGTTTATAGAGAAATAAAGATTAGTTACCTTGGTTGAAAGCTGAGTAATGAACTTTGCTGATGGTCACTGTAAAACTATCTGAGTTTTAATAATGCAAAAGTTTGGTAGTATAGTGTCCTTTGGAGTCTGCATGATCCAGAACCCCTGAAACATGTGTGTTCATGCCACTGCCATTTAATAGTATGGGATGTCATTTTCCACTTTATTCCATATCACCAGCAGGTATCAGAACCAAACCACTGTAAATACAGTGGGTCCACTATATCCCCACAGTTTTCTCGAGCCCATAAGTATTGGATTTACTTTCTCAACTGACAAGTTATTGCATGTGGATATACCTTTCCACCATTCTGAGGTGGTCTGTGCTGAGTCTGCATATCCTGGCAACGCACATCCTGCCATGTTTGAGGGAGACCACTGGAGATCCGTGGAAATGATGTGGCACAATCTGTGGACAAGTATTGATAAACCTTCCAGGTTGTGCCAAAGTCGGTGGAACGCTCGATCACCATTCCAACTGGCAAAGGGCTCTGAGGGGAGTGAGGGGAAGAGAAAACAAGGTTCAATCATTTCACCATCCTCAATGTGACACGATGAGAACCAGCCTCTGACAAGTGAGATGGGCCTAATGTTTCCTTTCAATAGAGAACTAAAGAGGAGAAGGATTAAGCCATAGCTGAACTAACCTCAATATTCAGCTGAAACTTTGAAATTGGGTTTTTTTTCTATACATTTCAATGAGCAAAAAGTGCCAGATAATAACAATATAAGAAGAGGTACCGCAGATCATTTAAGCCCAATAGACAATGCCACAAACAGGATTATTTACTTAATATATCACTAAAGCACCATGCCAAATTTCCTTGGATTTCAAAAGAAGTCTTTTCCTGAAAAATTCAAACTTCCATGGCAGGGAACTGTAATTTTTGCCATTTTGGCATGGGAAATACAGTAATCAAAGAAGCCATTGATCATATCAAGACATGTTACTATTCTCATAGTCCCAGGCAATATAGGTGGTTTAGTCTGTAGATGGAACCAGAACATTGCAAAAATTACATTTTGGATACCATTTTGAGAATCGTAATCTGGTTGAGGAATGCACAATGCATTGTTTTAAAAAATCACATTTCTAAGCCTTGGATTCTACCATGTCTGTTCTGTTGTAACATCCTGACAGACAAGATGAACATGTGTTTGAACATATGGATGAACATACAGCCACTGTCATCATTTTACAAAGAATCTGGCTGCTTGACTTTGTCAGAAACACTAATAAATGCAGAAATTAAGATTCTCCTTGACTTACAGAAACCACACGAATTCAAAGTTTTTAATCCTAGTTACTACCATGGCAGCCTCGCACGTACCCTGAAGTCCATCAGGATGCTATCAAGCTGAAACTTCTTATCGAGATCTAGCTGAAGAGAGACGTGATTCACATCTGTGAAGAGACACAAAGGACCATGGTCAGAGTAGCAAGTCATAGAGGTTGTAAAAACAAAAGATTTTTCCTGTCAGACAGGTTAACCATTTCCTCTTTGCATGTAATCCATTCAAATCCAGACCCTGTTTACTGAATCTACAGAACTCTTGGCCCCTTTCAGCTCATCATGCCTATCATAAAATTTCCAAGCCAGATAACCATCTTACAGCACGTTCACATCAAGAGTGTTTTCATGCTCTTTTTCCTCTTGAATGCATCATAAGAAAGACAGAAGCTTACCATTCTGGGACTGCCACCATCTTATGTGTCCAGCCGAAGACAGGACATTTTCTACCCGGTGACTGTTGAACACATGAGGGGTTCTGGAATCACACCGACAACATTTCAGTTGCCACTGAAAATGAACACACACAAATAAAAGCAGGTTAGGATGCCCAAGAAATGGGATGGCCATGCTATAGAAAATATAGTTTGCTATATTATTTGCTAAACTAAAATATTAATTATATTTGTTATATGTAAATAAACAATGACATGCCTGTCCCAAGATATATTACTGCCTGGGGCAGAATATAAAATGACAATCAGTTCCCAATTCTAATCAAGTTGTTTTGGGCCTTGACTTAATATTTCACAATTACCTCTCTTAATATAATAAGTAAAACAACTAAGATGTTACTGCCTTTACATGACAATCAGAATCAACTTCTGACATGAATGTCTCATCCTTCATAAGACTGGTCCTGTTTGATACATGAAGGTAAACTACATCTTGGTTAATGTGAAAATGGAGGGAATCAATTTATTTAGGATTAATAATCACTGGGTGCTTACAAATGAGTCATTAAGAAAACAATTGTTCAGTATATTGTTGAAGGCTTTCATGGCCGGAATCACTGTGTTGTTGTAGGTTTTTTCGGGCTATATGGCCATGTTCCAGAGGCATTTCTCCTGACGTTTCACCTGCATCTATGGCAAGCATCCTATGACCTCACTACCTCTGGGGATGCTTGCCATAGATGCAGGCGAAACGTCAGGAGAAGTGCCTCTAGAACATGGCCATATAGCCCAAAAAAACCTACAACAACCCAATTGTTCAATAGCTAATTTGAAAGGGGAGCCATTTGTTGATTTTCACTTGCTTGCTTCCTGGAACTTCATGCTCGCAAAACATGGGTTCTGCTCTTGTTTTACAGCAATTCACCGGTCTCATGGTCATTTCATAACACAATTAATGTTTAAGAGATTGTTGACACAAATACACACATACAAAACCTGAAGTGTGGAAGTTATATAAAAAAACCCACCAGCCTTGAGGAAAAGTCTGTTTGCAGCCATTCACGCTTCATGAAGATTTAAAAAAATCATAGCATTTGATCAATACCAGTTAGATACTATGTCCTTCTTCTTGAGATGTTCAATAACTTCAAGATTAGATTGCTGCAAGTCAAGAGTCACAACAAGATGGTGTATGTACCTTAGTACTTGCTCTCTATCAGTTAGACATTATGTCCTTCTTCATGGGATATACTAACGTCTGGGATCAGGTTATCTGTTAGCAAACATATGTTGTAGCCTATCTTTTGCCAGAAACAAAACAAATACTACAATATAGAATCTACACTTGGAAAGAGAGATCTCACATCACTGCTATGGTTGATACAGCTCTGCAGATGTAATGATAACTCCTGTTTTTCCCATATTGAATATGTTTCAATTTGTGTAGTCTGAGGATGTGGATAGGAAGCTTGGAGAAGTGAAAATTTCCATATAGGTACCCAATCTGTGCCCTTCCAGGATTATAGAACCAGAAAAAATTGGGACTGGCTTAGTAGGTAATGAGGAATGCCTCACTGAAAGAAGGCAATGCTGAAAGAGGTTATGGCAGAGCCTCTACTGGAAAAAAAACCCCTCCTTGAACATGACCACACTAGAAAATTATCAGCCAGTCTCCAATATTTTATTTTCAGACAAGATTCTGTAGTGGGCTCTTGAATGAAATGGGTTTCATTCAATTTGGTCCATTTCAATTTGGCTTCAGGTCTAAGTATGATGTTGGCTGATTTTGTGGATAACCTATGTAGTGAACCGAATATGGGAACATATCCCTATTGATTCTGCTAGATTTCTTGGTGGCTTTCAGTACCATCAACCATGCTATCCTTCCAAGTTGCCTCTCTGGGATGGGATTTGAGGGTATTGGTTTCAGTGGTTCCAATCTATTTTGGGAGACATAAACTTGCAAACTCAGAAGGTAAACAAGTATTAGAGAAGTTCTATTTGACCAAATGACACTTGGCTTGTAGGATACCTCAAGATCTGCTTTTGTCCCCATGCTACATGATTTTTTGGGACAGATTTTCTGGAGTTCTGGAATCAGGTGTCACCATTCCATTTCCACTAATTCCAAGAAAGCTGTCTTGATTCTCAATCTGACTATCATTAATAATGAATGTGATGAAGGCAAACAAATTGAACCCTAATTTAGACAAGATAGGGATCTTCCTGGTCAGTCAAAGAAGCGATGGGGAAATAGGAATATAGCTTGTATTGCATGTGATTTCACTACCCTTTAAATCTTATAGCTTGAATGCACATTTGATTCAGCCTTGAGGTGCAGAGTGTGCAATTCAAACAAAAACACCAAGTCAAACAATTGTGGAATAGACACACATATTTCATGGTAATATCTTTGCTTGTGATGTCTCCCCTTCATTCTTAGACTAAAGAAGGAGCTCCAGTCACTGATGCTCAGCCATATGCCGAGATTTGGCAACCCCTCAAAATATCCCTTGTTTGCAACCAAATAAATGACATTGAAAAAGGAATTCCTTCCACGAGTTTTTCACATGGCCAGTTTGAATTTACTCCATCTCCACCAGCAGTATGTCTAAACAAAAAGGGTAGAATGGTACATCCTGGATTGCTGTTTTGAGCCTTAAGATTAAATGGGCACCTTTAGTTTACTTAAAGGCTTATCACAGTCCAAACATTGACCACAACAATGTTTGCCATGCATCAAAAAGGTTAGAGATAATACCCCAACACTGCAGCTTCAGCCTTGTCCTGCATGAAGTTTCATTTGGGCAAACACCATAACCTTTATCTAAATCTCAAAATAGTTTGAGCCTAAGGGCCCTCTCAGCACCCTCTCCCAAAAGCAAGCAAGAAGGCAAGTAGCCTCAGTGGGTGAAAGGTTACTGGGTGAAAAGTCAAGCAGAACAAAATTCATTCCTTAACTGGAGTGAGTAATTCAAGAAGCAAGACCAGTTGGCTATCCCTAAAGGGCTGTGCATACAGAAACAGCTTAAAGAGACTTCATTCCCTACTTTACAAACAAATACTCCAAAATGAGAGATCAGGCTATGCCACAATGAGCAGGACCTTGTAGAAAAGCCCCTATTATAAATGTTTAGGAAGTCTCTCTTGCATCATGCAAATACAAAGGTGTGGCAGAGAACAGAATAATACTATATTATATCAATTATAATAGCATATATTGTTACATATTGTGATTTTCCTGCTTCTTGGCAGGGGGTTGGACTGGATGGCCCATGAGGTCTCTTCCAACTCTATGATTCTATAATAATATAATAGTGTATTGTCTATATTAATATTTTCTGATATCAATTATATGATGCATCAGGAATACACATACACACACATAAACACACACATACTGCACTAAAATTATTCATGAATATTTAAGTCAGTATAAAATAGAAAACACAATGGAAAATATGAAACTCCATGGAATGACCACTAAAACAAGGCTGAGCACCTTACAGCACACAGGGTCATTTTTGTGCCATTCATTTTGGGTAAAAAAATACAAAGGAATATTTCACTTTTTGGGAGGCCTGGAAGTGCATTTCCACCAAATTTTACAGCCCCTCAGCCCAATCTGCATCTAGAATAGATCATTTTTGAAACCCAAAACAAGTGAAAGTGCATGGGGGCAAAAACAAAACAAAGCAAACTCAACAACCTTTTTTTTAAAAAAAATGGAAACACAGAATTCTCACCCCAAGTTTCCAAGAGGACTAATACAGCCTCCTAAACTTTTGCAGTTGCCCACCCTGTTCAAAAAGCACCAGGGGAATAAACCAATGACCTTTCCCACAAATTTCTCTTTGCTTCAAAATTGTTGTTTTTTCAAGAGGCCCAGTCCCTTGGTTTGGAAACAGCAGCATTCTGACAGTTTTGAGAACCTACCCTAATCATGGCTTAAATTGCTGATCACACCTTCAGTTACCTGTTTACCTCCCCAACTAGATATAAGCTTTGAAGGTGTCTCATTTACATGATGTATATGCCTGTAAAACATATCCATTATATCTAACCCCAGAATAACGTAACCACAAAAGCCAGATAAATCCAATACAGTTTATTCACACTGCTAAAAAGAAGCAGAACAAAGGTTTTGCTGAGGATTAATTAACGGTTTATTGTCAATGGAAAAAGAAGTGGAATTTAACTCATAGGAAAAGGAGAAGCTTGACTGTGAGAAAAACTCCATTCACTGCCATAGTTATTTCAGCGCTATTGTAGCTTAAATGTGTCATATGAAAAAGCCCCAAATCTTCAGAAGCAGAAACCTGCTTGCTATAGCGTATACCTGGAGAGCACAAGCCCTCCTCATCTTGTGTAATTACCTAAAAAACTTTCTGCCGTATTTTTTACAAGCACAAGCAGTGAAGTCATGGGCAAAGACTGCAAGACTAAACACATTCATATTTGTAGCAGGAATGTTTTATCTGGTTTAATCTTATCCAAACTCTTTTGGATTTATTATCAAAGCTACCCCACCCTATGAGCTCAGCTACAGACATACTAGACAGCCTTTCTTGTACCTGTGCAGAGTAAATCCACAGACAATAAATACATTTTGGTACAAGATTCAGAGCAAAGATCTAAATTCTAGATGGTTGTCTATGACCTAGCATCCCTTTCTGTGTTACAAAGAGGCAACACTAAACATGTGGATGGATTTGGCAAGGCTAGAATTTCCACATGTGGATGGATTTGGCAAAACTAGAATTTATACACTGCTTTCATAATCCATACAACATGGACAATTATTCCAAGCACCAAGTGCAAGTGCCATAGATATTTTCAGATGTTACACTTAGTAGTATGCTGAACATGGGGTTTCGAAGGGCCCATCTACATTGCCACTTGATGTCTGACAGTGATTGCATTACCCTGGGGCATCCAAACAACATCCCAAATTAATGCAATATAACTCAGCATAAACCTATTACCTTGGGTTTATCCTGGGTTAAAAAGCACCAGAAAAGTTCTGGATCTTCCAAGAAGTTCTGTACCTTTGCTGGTGCCGTCTGGAATTACCATGTACCTGATGGCAGTCTCCACAGCTGTCCCGCACTCCAT